AAGGCTTCCTTCCCGCCCTGGGACTGGAGCAGAGGGGACATGGGGAGCAGAGAAAAGGTGGGCCCACCAGGGCTTGTGGCTGGTGGGTGTAAGGGGAGGGGGCTGAGGGGGCTCTGGGGACACAGCATGGGCTGTCAGGACCCAGCTCCCCTGTACCATCCACTGCAGTGACAGAGCAGCGCCCCCCACACCGAGGTCACCTCTCCAGGGACCTTTGATTCAGCCTCCGGCTCCTGGCCCTGTGCCATCCCTGTGGGCAGTGCCTTGTCAGACCGTGGGCATCCGTAGGGTCTTCTTTGGCTGTTTGGGGAAGTAGAATGCCCGGCCTTTCTTCCTAGTCTGACTCTCCTGACTCCTGCTCACCCTAATGGCAGGTATCCACTAATGGATGCGTGGGAATGCCAGGTGCACTGACCAGGAATCCAACCGGAGTCTCTCCACGGGGGGTGGGGGTGGGGCAAGGATCCTCTTATTGACCCAGCCCTGCCCTCCTCTCTCCTCACTGCCCTCAGGTCGGTTCCGACTCATGGGTACCCTGTAGGACAGGGTGGAACTGCTCCGTAGGGTTTCAGAGGCTGCAGCTCTTTACAGGAGCAGATAGTCTCTGTTTTCTCCTTCAGACACACTGGTGGGTTTGAACTGATGACCTTTCAGATAGCAGTCTAACTCTTAGCCACTGTGCTGCAAAGGCTCCTTCTCACTATACACCCAACCAACCAATCAAACCAACCACTGGCTACAGAGTGGCTTCTGATTCCCAGTGACCCTCCTTAGGGTGTCTGAGGCTGTAACTCTTTAGGGAAGCAGACAGCCTCATCTTTCTCCCTCAGGTGGCTGGTGGGTTTTGAACTGTTGACCTAGCAGTTAGTGCCCAGCGTCACCAGGGCTCCAGATTCAAAAAAAGATCATCGTCAGTGCCGACTCCTGGTGACTGTATGGGACCAGCTAGAACTGCCTCTGTGGGTTCTGAGGCTGTAACCCTTCACGGGAGTTTGGCAGCCTCCTCTTTCAGAGTGGCTGGTGGTTTCAAAGGGCCAGCTTCGAGGGTCACAGCTGATTTGTCATCCACTACGCCACTGGAACCAGGCATCCGCAGAAGGCACAGAAACCAAGCACCCTGCTCATTGCCACGGAGCAGACTCTGCCTCCCTGTGCCAGACCCTAGATGTGTTTCTGATGCGGTGAATCTTCACGGGCAGCTGGTCAGTTGGACCCCATCCAACTCTCAGGAGCTGCTCTGAGTGGGCAGCCCAGGCTCTGGACCCTCCCAGGCCTAGACACACTGGAGCCCAGATGACCTGAGCCTGACCTGAGCAGCCCCCACCTCACCTCACCCAGCCCCCTTCCTGCTGGGGCACCCACCGGCCTCAATTTCAAGACACTTCTGGTGGTCAACATGGAGGGGTGAGGTCTCCCACGTGTGATTGAGCCCAGGACGGGAACAGCATTCCACCACCCGTCAGAGAGGCTTGTCAGGGAGATGGCAGAAGGGTCCCACAATGACCTTTGGTTTGAGACCGCTAAGGCTGGTGGCACATCGGTGGAGCACTTGGCTGCTTCTCAAAAAGTGGATGGTTGGAACTTGCCCAGTGGACGAGAGATTCGGTTTGCTAGGAAACCGTGCGGGGGCAGGTCCACTCTGTGACTGGCTCCCGCAAAGAGGAAGAGCCCCTCAGGGAACCCCTAGATCCTACTGGGCCTGGGGCAAAGCCTCCGAGAGCAAGGAGATGGGGTGCAGCTGTGTCCGCCTGGGGCAAAGCCTCCGAGAGCAAGGAGATGAGGTGCAGCTGTGTCCACACCTGCATCTGCGACCCAGGGGCCCAGGTGGTGCTGTTTGTCGGATGTTAAGACGCTAAGCGCAGTGGTTCACGCCCACCAGCCACTCGGAGGGAGCTGAATGCGGAGGGAGCTGAATGCGGAGGGAGCTGAATGCGTCCGTCTGCCTGTAGAGATCATATCCACTGCCACGGAGTGGACGCTGACTCGCAGTGACCCTACAGGGTAGACAGAGCAGAACGTCCCCTGTAACTCTTGATGGGACTAGAAAGCCTCATCTTTCGCCTACAGCTGGTTGGAGAGGCTAGTGGTTTTGAATGGCTGACCTCTCGGTTAGCAGCCCAACTAGTAAACAACAACGCTGCCAGGGCTCCTGTAAAGATTACAGCCTTGGAAATCCTACTGAGTGTCTGCCATGAATGCGGTAGGTGTGACTACCCACAGGAAGAGGAGGAGGCCGGGGAGGAGAGGGAGTAAGGGGAGGAGGGGGAGAAAGGAGGAGGAAGAGGAGGGGAAGGGCTGTTGGGTGAGACTCCTGCCTAGAGCACCTGATAATTCTGCTGTGTGTTGGCACTTTCTACACCCCCCCACCCCCGACCCCAAGGCCCGGGGCTCCAATGTCTCTGAGTCATTGCAAACACCCTGCTTTCCTGCGAGGTATCCGCACCTTGATGCTCACGCTCCTCAGAGAAGCATGCCAAGGGGTGAGTGGGCTGGAGGGCTATGTGAGGACACAGGCGGTGGGCCTTCTCCAACATGGTCCGCCGCCTTCACCCTGGACAACGGGGGTGTCACCGCTGTGGAGACCCAGTGCTGTGGCCATGACCATGAGTGTCCCACAGGCTTTCACGCCTCCGCTACAGACCCCATGCTCTACAGGGTGGAGACCCCCTGTATGACCGCAGGGGAGGGAACAGTGTGGGGGGGCAGGCCCTCTATCGTTCTGCCTCACCAGCCCGACCGTGCTAGTCTGGGGTGCCAGGGGTTAGTGGGCGTGCACCACAATCCACTGCTAGCCTCGCTGGGGGTGGGGGGTGATTGCAGGGGCGGGCTGGCTCTGCCTCGGGCCTGGGCTGTGGGTGCTTACGGCCTTCAATGAGGCAAAAGCAACCACAACGATCACTGAACACCCGTTGCCCTCAAGTTGATTCTGACTGGGGTGCAGGGTGTGCAGGGTGCCATTGCTCCAGGGGGTCTTTGAGGCTGGGGCCTTTTGGAAACCGACTGCCAGGCCTTTCTTCCTTGGTGCCTCTGAGTGGACTCGAACAGGCCACCTTCTGTTGTTAAACCAGTGGCCTGAGAGCTGTGTGGCTTCCTGTTCTGGCTGTGTGCCGTCTGTGCGTGTGTGCACTGCTTGCATGGGCATGTGAGCTGGGGGTGTGTGGGCGGGTGGGATAGGGTGCTGAAAGGTCCAGGCTTCCTGGGTACCCTGGCCTGCCTTCAGACATTGTCCAGCTCTGAACATACTGCCCCTCATGCTGCTGAGTGATGTCAGAGGCCCTGACACTGTCATGCCCAACGCTGGTCATCTCTCCCACCAAGATCTAGCATGAGACTTCGTAGATGTGTGGTAGTTACATAATCTGTCAATTTGCGACTTGAGCGGATTAAGATTGAAGGGGTGGGGTCTAGTCTGTCAATCAAGTGACAGCCAATGAGGCCTCTGTGTGGGCATGGCCTTCTCTTGAGGATTCTGGGAAATCTCATTTCTTCCTACTTGGAGGGGGGAGATTCCCTCTCTGCTCACTCCCTTGGAGACTCTCTACTGACAAGATACATGGCACTACATGCCCTGGGAACTGGAGAAGCCACGTGGAGACCCCTGCTAGCACTGAGATGCTTACAATGCCACTGGATCCAAAGACTTTCTCCCCACTGGCCTGCGATTCGGTGTTGCATGTGTTTTGTGAGTCTGAAGAGGACTTTATAGATTGGTATTGGACATATGGGCTAATATTGGACTTATGGGCTTGGACTGGACTGGGTTGGGATGCTTTCTCAATGTACACTCACCCTTTATATAAAACTCTCTCTTATACTAAGGTGACCAGATTTAAAGCGGGACACTATTGACC